CAGAGGGCGGAACCATAGGAGGGACAGGATGAGCGCTGGAGCTGCACACGGGCAGGCAGGACAGGCGGAGGGGACGAGCGAGCGGCATGGGCTAGATTAGTGATGGACGGCACAGTGCGGTGTCGGCAGGCGGGAGATGAAGTGGAATCGCCTTACAGGAAAGATGAAGCGGGAGGGCGCGGGTCGGATCGAGTTCCACACAAACAAATGCCAAATCAGCTTCGCTGCGGCGCCGGGTCCGCAGAGGGCTGGGAGCGCACGCACTTCGCAGATCGAGAGGCCTCCGCAGCGTAACCTCCGTCTGGGGCGCCTCGGGAAGAGGCGGCGTTATAGGAGCGGGAGCGAGATCACACGCGCTCTCGCCCCGCCCCCTCCTCCCCACCCAAGCTCGCCCCCCGCCACCGCCTCTCTCGTCCAGCCTGGTTCCGACTCGTCCAGCCCTGGTTCCTCTCGTCCCAGCCTTGCGTTGCCCCCGCCCACCTCGCCCCTCGCCCTTTTGCCTCGACCCCTTTTCGCCCCGCCTCGTCCCGCCCACGCCCCGCTTCCCTCGCTCGCCTCGCCTCGCCCCGCCCCGCCCCGCCACGCCTCGCAAAAACCCATCTACCTATTGTTTTTCTTAAACCCAAAGAATCCAGATCGCCCTCGAATCAGGCATTTAAATTAAGGTGGGGATAACTTCAGTCTTGACCCGATACGTCTCTAGGCCGGATACAGCCGCTGTCTGCAGCAGAATTCCAGCGGCCGGCTGCTCTGATCGGTTATTTTCCGTAGTTTCTACGCTCAAAACAAGGCGAATGCAGTACCCGGACCTCTTTCCTTCCTCTTCTTTATCCTATCCTCATACCTTATTTACACCACTCTTACACTTACATGCACTAAACTACCACACATACCGCGAGATTAGACATTATCCGGGTGGAGCGGTGCTCATCTGGTGGTAGATACCTGGTCAGGGAAAGCAGACGTAAGTCCGTGCCAGATCTCACCATAGCGTAGGCGAATATCACCGCAACCTCCAGATATCAATACATGCACTACACTTACGGGTATAATCACTTCAGCAGTTGACGCGCCCGAAATCACAAATCAACCCATCGCACGTCCCTTTACATCTCGACTCGTCTCCTTGTTCTACCTCACTCCGCCTCTCGATATATAATTATTTTCCTATTCCTATTACTTCCCTAACGGATTCACACGTTTCTAGAAGACCGTCCTCGCCACGCAGAGAGAACAATACCTTCCCTCTCCTGCGCGAAGCTAGCTGAAGGGCTTGAAGCCAACACATTATTCGCGGAGAGGACAATTCCAGCCAGTCCCGCCTCCCTCCCTCCCATCCCAGCCACTCGGCAATGCCCATTTCTCCCACCTGCGCCCATTGGCACTCGCCAACGGATCCGGATCGAAGCCTATCCTCTCGTCTCTCGGCGAAGGCAGTTGCTGACTCTACGGTTCCGTTCCAGCCGGTAAACGATGTTTTGCCAGGTTCTAAAATACTTGATCATCACTGAAGACCGAATCGTTTCGTGAAATATAGTCAGTTAACGCCTTATTTTTCGTGCCGAGACTCGGACACTTCCGGGCAAAAGCATGCACTTTGCTTACAGGACTATTGACCTTAGCAGTTGGCGTACCCGAAACAACTATTAATCTATCAATCAACTGAAAACGTGACTGGCGTGACTGCCCAAGCAACGCCCACTCCCGTCAGCCCTCGGCCAACAACCTCACCGACAACTCCGGACGAAAAGCACGCACTACACTTACAGGACTAATGAGCTGAGTAGTTGACGTGCCCGAAATCACTAATCAATCAGTCAATCAATCGAAAACTTCGTTGTCGTGACTTCGGTCATCAACCTCACAGTCACTTCGGGACGCAAAACATGCACTACACTTACAGGACTATTGACCTTAGTAGTTGACGCGCTCTGGAACCACTAATAAATCGATCAATGAAATGAAACCTTTGCTCACTTGGCCATCAACCTGCGTCCGTCGTAGCGTGCGGAAGGTAGGCCGCGCCGTGAAGCCAGAGCCCTGCTGCCTGGGGCGGGGGCGAAGACAGTTGCTGGCGGGCGCCCCGCCCTCCGACCAGCGGTTGGCGCCGAGCCACGGGCGCACGTAGGGCCTCCCCCGCCCCTCCCCACACCTCCCCCTCTCTGCGACCACGTGCGACTCTGCCGGTCGCGTCCTACCCGTTCCTCCCTGCACCACCCGCGCAGCTCATGCGCACCTCCGCACGAGGAGAAAGAAGGAGCGGAAGAAGAAGGTGAACAAGAAGACGTAGGAGAAGAAGGATAAGGAGAAGAGGAAGAAGGATAAAGAGGAGGAGAATGATAAGGAGGAGAAGGAAATGAGATAGAGAAGGATATGGAGAAAAAAGGGGAAGAAGGATAAGGGGAAGAAGGATAAGGAGAAGGATAAGGGGAAGACGAAAAAAAGAAAAAAGAATAGGAGAAGGAAACGGATAAGGAGAAGGAGAAGACGAAAGTGAAAAACGAAAATATCAGAAAAAGGGGGAAGGAGGAAGTCAAGAATAGGAAAAGATAATGATATATAATTTTTTAGGGTCGCCGATGTCATACATAAATCAGACAACGAATTCCGACGTAGATGGCTCAAGGCATCAATTATGTCATTGAAATACCTCTGTCAGGAAGCTTCTACGGTTCCTCTCCCCACGGTGGCAGGATTTTCCACACTAGCCACTTATCATTTATATAGGATACTTCGACGATACCGAGAAACTGTTTATCCTAAACTCAGTTTTATATAATTTTTAACTCGACTATTTGACTCATATCTTCCCCTGTCGTAAGTAACCGATGAATTCAGCATATCTTCTATTATTTATTTTAATTAATTTCAAAGATATTAAAAGAACATATTCTAATTCAACCTAGCCCAGATATCTTTAATCATATAATTATCGACTCTGCACTCCGCTGTAATCACATCATAATACTACTATTATTTTAATATCTTTAAAATATTTACAGAAAATAATAGAAAGTATATTGAAATGAACACATTTCTTTATAATATCAATATTTTTTGTTTAAAATATTCACTAAATTCTCCATTAAATATATAAAATTTAAAAAAATGTCCAAGTGTAACATCTGTTACAAATGAAATGGCAATTTTCTTCACATAATTCTTGAAATTGCTGCCCGAGACTTTCTCTCTCTGTTTGTTTGTTTGTTTTTCTTTTCTTTATGCGCTGTTTTTCGGCATTGAATCTTTAATAATTGATTACAAAATATTATTAAAGATTCATTGCTGGTAAACAAAGTAAACAAGAAAAGGAAAACAAACAAACAGGCAGAAAAAGTATTTGGCACTTTCACTTCTTTGTTACAATCGATTGTGTGTCTGATATTGGTATAATAAAGGAAATGATTTTATTTATGCACATTTTCTATTATTTCCTTTAATTCTTTTCAAAGATATTAAAAGAATAGGATTTATGGACGTTACAAAATTTGGGAATACATAAAATTGAATTTTTGAATAATTTTAATTAATAATTTGTTACAATAATTACTTTTGAATGGGGAATTTGTAAGATTTTCTGTGTTTTCTACCCCCTACTCTAGCGAGAAGAAATGCTTTTTTGACGCCCATTTCAGTACAAATAAATGCCTATTTTAGGTACAATAAACGCCTGACCTTCCGGGCTCTACATACGATCATCAAAAGAAAAAAGACTTCTCTCCTGCCTGTGGTGTGCGTGTGCCGACGCAACCGACCTGCCAGGCAACTCCCGCGCCCCGCGAGATCCGGGGGAACGATTCCTCCCTAAACCACTCCGGCGCTCCCGACCGTCAACCCCTTTACCGGGGACTATCTCCTCCCCCCCTCCGCCTCCCCGTTTTCGATTCCCGCGCTGTCGCCCGCGCCCCGCTGCGCCGTTGTTCATCTTGGCAGCGGCGCCGGGTGGGGGGGGGGGCAGTTGGTCATGAATAGAAAGCAGGAATCGCGGGCGTCCGCCCACGCGCCGGCGATGTTCGAGTCGATCGGTAGGAATCGATTCCCGGAAGCGAGTCGGCTCTCCTTTGAAGCGACCGGCTCTTAGGTAGCTCGGGGCATCAACTGACGCGACGCCATTCAGTGACGGCGACCGGGAGGTGCTTGAGTTCCACTCCCGGCGGCGGCAGGATTTTCGACACTGGCTACACAGTTAGGCTGCTCTGACAGGAATTTTTGGAGTCACATAAATAATTTAGTGGTATTCCGCCGCTTCTCCGATCAACACCAGGCAAAAGCTGGAGCAGTACCCTAACAAACGGGCCACGGCCCCGCGCGATCTTTCCTTCCTCTTCCTAATTTTATCCTCGCCCCTTACGTACACACTCTAATACTAACATGCACTAGACGTCCACGGATGTCGGGAGATTTAAGAGCTTGTCCCGGTTCGGGAGGTGACCCGCTTGGCGGTGATACCTTGTTGGGGGAAATCCCGCGAGACATGCAGTTCTATGGAGGATCTCGCCATCTAGCTGGAGGTCACCGTCACATCCCGCGAGAAAAATATGCACTACATTTACGCGAATAATAACCTTAGCAGTTGACGTGCATGGGATAATTAATAAATCAATCAATCAAAACCTCACAAATTGATGCCCTCGCACCTCTCACAGTTTAAGGAGGGTGTACATCGAAATAAAAACTTGTGTACGTGTACTTTGAAATAAAACTCTTTACTCTGACATACTACAGGTTTGAGTTACAACATACACGACACAATTCATCCAACCACATGAAATACATTTATTTTAAAATTAGAGATAGCTTCACGCAATGATATATTATCCCCATCTAGTTCATAGTATCACATCCGTGGCGTTCCGAACTACATCAATAAACACGTCACACCCAACCTGCGCAATTGATAAATGGAGCGGCTACAAATTCATTTCGAATTCGGACACAATAGCCCGTATTCAGAACATATGCCACAGCTCCAATTTTTAACACGCAACTCATTACTCAATTGTTCCCGCGTCTTAACACATCACTGCGTTCAACGCGACGGCCTTCATTTGTTGAACAGACAACGTCGCAGCGCGAAAAAGTGTGTACGCAATATTTTTGTTTGTTGCTTAATCGGTTTCCAACAACCCGTTATGAGAGAGGGGAGTAATGAATCGAGCTCGGAAAAAAAAAAAAAAAAGAAAAAAAAAAAACACGTTTGGGGGGAAAGCCCTGAAGTGTCAACCGCCATTTCATGAAAATCCCTTAACAAATGGTCTTTGCGAGGGTTTAACGATGTAATGGAGAAAACGATGTAAAACCGTTTCGGTTAAATGCGATATACTGGGCTCTGGCAATTCAGCCTCATTCAACACTTTTTTGTAATTAAGATTAATTATGTCTAAAGATAAAGATAAATTACGTGCGGCAAATTACGGCTTCTTTCTGGTCTTCGGGGACCGCAAATGAAAGAGAAACCCTTTTAAAGCTAACTTTCCTGTTTGCTGAAAGAGTTACAAGTTTATTTGTCCCTCTTAGTGGTTAGAAGCTTTATTCATACTTTCAAGAACTGGCATTCGGTAAATTTCTCCATTTCCGTATTTCCATTATCCATCAGCGGGGCTCTTTCCATGAAAACATGGTAACCAATCGTGTACATTACATTTTCTAGACGTACGTAACATTTATTTCCAACCATCTGGAATGAACAGGTATTTAAAAATAAAATTTTGAAACTTTTAGGACATTTAGAGAGGTTAGAAAAGATTACTTTTTTTTACCTTCTCGTTACCGCTCACGCAGTAGAGAGAAAGCTATGAAATACTACGCGAAAAACAGCCAATTTTGTCAGAAGAACATTTATAGCAGTGTTCTGGTTACGAAGAAGTGGTTGAGTCCAGTTTCTTAATTTCTAACACCTGGTGTAGCCAGAATCCATGTTCTGTGTGTCTTTGATACTGCAATATCGAATGATGGCAAAACTTCAGTATGTCTGTTTGCCCGTCTCTCTAAGAACGCTAGTGACTAAACCATTCACCATATCTTCTCCAAAATTGATATTTCCCAATGGATATGATTAATGTGCCGGCCCCTTGAATTTCAAACCGATATTTTAACTTTTGTAGGTACTTAACGTGAAGCCTCTGGAACCGTTTCCAAATTTCTAAAAAACCTTTTAACGTTTTTGATAACAAAAAATTGTTGCATAGTGTGAAGAACGTGTAAGAGAATGGAGCAAGTATCATGTTCGTTGAAATCTATGATTTTTCGAAAATTGCAAAAGTTAAAATTTTTTTCGGCGTCATATTACAACTAAAATATTAAAGATAGAGATTTTTCCCCTGATGAAGTCTGTTCCTTAAAGATAGATTTTGATATAAGATCATGCACAGTGTTTCGAAAATCTGAGTACTTGAGAGTACGGGCAAGAAAGTTCGTGCTGTTTTAGCATCTCTAGTTTCCCAATAAAAGTGAAGTGGAAGATTTCATTTAAGCATTTACTCATAAAATATTCCTCCATGGTGTTATATGATATCGTACGCATAGGTGTTTCGCTGTTACATAACGTTGAAGTCTCCATGACTACGTCAAAATGTGACCTGCGGAACAAGAGAGCATTGCGAGTTGCCTGATAATCAGGGGCAAATGTCCCTTGTGAAAATTCGCTGCATGAAATCGCACTATATTTTTTCTAGAAGAAAGGTATCGTTCTCTAACCGACGTTTTCGAGTTTAAAAGTTTGTATCATTAATTCTAAAACACTTTCATATTATTCCCATTGAAGGTAAAACAAATCGACTAGATTGCAACGAATCAAGGTCGTATTCGTTAAAATAAAACAATATCGACCAGGCCGTATCGTATACGACTCGGAACTTGGTACTGTCCATTCTATTTATTTGAACTGGTGGAACACAAAATTGAATGACCAGCAACGCCGCGTAATCGAAATCCAATGCACTGCACTAGCGCTTCTAGTCATCATCGGAATACGCACTCAGAAGTACAGTTCGCGCGAAGAGTCTGTGCATTCAACTGACGTCACACGAGGATATGGCTACCCTAAATGCCATTTCAAAAACATCGACTGTCTCAGTTTTCCACATGCATCCTCCAGACAAACAAATTCAATAATTAAAAAAAAAATCAGGGATCACTGGATAAACAAAATAAATAACAGTCGATGATTCCAGTCATAAGTCAAAAATTATATTACATCGCGAGACGTTCTGATCTTTTTGCGCTATTTTTTCAGTATCTTGAAACTGTATTGTTACAATTGCAACACTAAATATTGTGTAAAACGAAAACAATAAATATTGCATAAAATTGTAACAATGAATATTATGTAAAACTGTAACAATAAATATTGTGTAAAATTGTAACAATACATATTGAGAAAAAATTGTAACAATAATTATTGTGACAATATGTGTAATTTCTGTAAATAAACTGTGTAAGAAGCTGTCTTTAGTCAAGTTGGGACTTATTCTTTAATGTGAATAAACAACAGGCAGTTTCGACCAATGCAGTGGAGAAAGCACTTGGGCGCGTGGCAAAGAAATGCAACTCACGTGTGCGGCGGCGGCGGCAGCATCTCGCCTGCGGAGCTCCAGCAGACGCAGGGTGGCGGAGAGCTGCGCGGCGGACGGCGGCTCCGCCCCCGCCCCCGCCTCCTCCTCCCGCTCCGCCTCCGCGCGGGGGCTGGGGGCGGGCGCCGGGCTGGGCGCGGGGGCGGGCGCGGGCGCGGGGCCGGTGGGCGGCGGCGAGTGTGAGGCGGCGGTGCCGGCGGCGGCGGCCGCCACCGCCCGCTCCTCCGCCGCCAGCCCCTGCATGTAGGGCTCCAGGAAGGCATCGCCCCTGCAACAACATTGGCCGCGCTCAGTCCCGGCCGCTCGCCACATCCTCGCAAAGGTTCTTTGGGAGGTACACAACGGCATTAAAGCAACTTTGACAGTACAGGGTCTGGTTGCGGGAGATACCTGGTTGGGAAAACCCGCCAACAGACTGTAGGTCGGTCTATTCCGAAAGAATTTGATATTAATTAGACACTTCTTTTCTTGCCGAATTGGAATATGTAAACATGTAATTAGTAAGAACTTTCACTTATTACTCTTCATGAGAACTAAATCTATTGCATGAAACATGATAATTATTTTTGAAATGCGCTGTTTACTAACACGACAATAATGGTAATAACATCTTATTGTCCAGGATCTGTTAACTTTTATTTATTTATTCACACAAAAAATTGAAAGAGTGTCTACACAAATTATTAATCTCATAATTATTACTCTAGTTGCATTCGTTTTTGTTTGATTTTTATCTCACCTTGTCGCTTCACACTGTTCGCGTTGGCGGGGAAATTATCATATTTTCACAAATTCTGAAATCTCTCACAACATCCTCTGCTTTATGGATGCAAATTTCGCCGGATACCATCAACCATCAAGGGAAGATCTCCGCTTCCTTACGAGAAGAAAACCTGCACTAAACTTACGGGACTAATGGCCCTATCAATTGAGTTCCCGGAATCACTAACAATTAATCAACCAATCTACTTATCACAAATATGGTCCTAAAATACTACCGGGTCGCGAATCGGGAGAACGGGAAGGTGCTGATGCGAAAAGCCAAACAATTCATCACAGCGCAATCACACCGTATTAAACAGGCAAATAATGGAATCCGACACGCGAGTCAACACACATGAACACCGCGAACGCCCTAATAACTCGCACGTGTCGATTCGCACCATCCAGATAAACAATTACGCCACCCAACCTAGTTTACATGTTGATGTCTTTGCTCGGCCTGACCCAGATGAAGTACCGACCACCAGCCACGCGTACAGCACAGCTGTTGCTTCTCGCGCAATTGCAACGCAACGCACCTACCGATAAAATACAATATTCATTATTATTATTATTATTATTATTATTATTATTATTATTATTATTATTATTAGCTCTACGCCCGAGAATTCCTCTTGCTCTCGCTATTCCGAAACAATTCGACATTAATTACACACTTCTTTTCTAGCCGAATGGGAATAGGTATACATTAATTAGTAAGAACTTTCACTTATTACTCTTCATGAGAACTAAATCTATTGCATAGAACATAGTAATTATAATTACTCGGTACACATAAATTGGAAATGAGTTCGGTTTACTAACACGGAAATAATGGTAATAACAACTTATTATCCAGGATCTGTTAACTTTATTTATTCACACAAAATTGAAACAGTTTCGACACAAATTTTTAATCTCATAATTATTACTCTAGTTGCATTCGTTCTTGTACGATTTTTTATCTCACCTTCTCGCTACACATAATCGCGTTGGAGGGGAAATTATCATATTTTGACAAATTCGGGCGCTTCGCACAACGTCCTCAGTTTTTTATCAACATTTCGGAAATATAATGTATTTTATTTGTTGCAATAATGTTTAAACATTCCCTGCAAATTTCATGGACGGCAGGTCTTAAGAAAATTTGTAGGTGGTAAATATCTAACCATTTGTAACATTGTTTGAAAAATAAAAGACACTTTTGAAAAATTATTCCTTCCATTAAGAACCGAATTATCACATACCTGCTTCCGTCACCAATTTTCGAAAAAAGGAAGACATTACATTCCAGAAAATACGGTATTACCAGCAATGGCTGTCATGAAGACGTTGCAAAAGTCGTTACCTACATCTCGTTTCTATACAGATCGCCTCTATCCATTTTGCTTTTCATTCGACCCATGAGATTGTGCTTTTTTCTCATACCAGTATGGCTATGTCTATTGGGACAAATTAATTCGGCATTTCCAGAACATTTTTAATTATAATACTCGTAAGAAATAACGAGTCAGTCAGAAATATATTAAACAATATGATTGTTACTAATAACATTAATTATTATAACATTCGGATTTCCTTTATTTTTATATAGACTATCATAGTACAATGTTCTTGAAAATGTTTTATTTTGCACGTATTTTGAAAGAGACTATCGGATAATCGTTTATTTACGAGTCTTCAGGTGTGAACAAAAAAACAATATATTTATGTCTGAAAATTAAAACATGTAAACAATATCATCAATTTATTTTTTTATTTCCATCCCCATCATTTCATTTCAATCCCATCCAGTCCTGTACCATCACATCTCAACATGTTCCGTCCCGTAGTGTGCCATCCCATCCAAACCCGCCACATACCATCCTGTCCCGTGTCATCCCATCCCTTCCTGACCCATCTAATTCCGTCCTGTGCCATCCCATCTCATACTGTGCTGTCCAATGGAATCCCAACCCGTCCCGTCCTGTACCATCATATTTCATTCCGTTACGTCCGGCGCCATTCCATCTAATCGCATTCCATCACGTCACGTCATGTCCCGTCTCGTCTCGTCCAAATTAAGTCCCATCCCATTCACTCCCGTCCCGTGACATCCCATCTCCTCGTGACCAATCTCTCCCTGTGGCATCCCATCCAATCGCGCCCTATCCTGTCACGTCACATCCCAATCAAATCCCGCTCCATCCCGTGACATCCCATCTCGTCCTGACCAATCCCGTCCGGTTCGGTTCGGTTCGGTTCCGTTCCGTTCCGTTCCGTTCCGTTCCGTTCCGTTCCGTCCCGTCCCGTCCCGTCCCGTCCCGTCCCGTCCCGCCCTAATGCCATCGCGCCGCGTCCCGTGGCACCTCGCCCCGCCACTCGCTTCCGCCGGAACACCCGCGCCGGTGCGTGCGGCGCCGTGCCGCAGCGTGCGTGCGCGTGGTGGCGAGGGGTCGGGCGGCGAGTGCGTGGGCTCAGTGCGTGGGCATCGATCGGCGCAGGCCGCCGCCGCCGCTGGGTCCAGCGCCGCCCCGTCCCCGCGCGCCCTTGGAGGGCAGGGGCTGGCTTTGCGCCGCCACCGCCGGCCCCCGGCAGCGACGGCCGCCGCCACGAGCCACACGCTCCACTTTCTCGCCTTTACTTCGTGACAACGCAAAGTATTGCAGTCGTGCGGATTTTCAACACAAAATATCTTATTGCCGGCGCTGGTCAAGAAAACTTCGATAAATCGTATTCATATGCACAGTATTACTTCCTCTAACACGTGATGTAAGCAAAACTCACTTGTTATTTTCTCGCACTTACCACATAACAGCAGAAAGCATCGTAATCGTACGCCAGGAAAAGGAGAATTTTCAACAGAAAACCGTATTGACGGGCAGTGATAACGAGAAAAAAACTACGATAAATCTTGTTCATATATATAAAGCAAACTACTTCATCTAAAACACTGTATAGTCAGAATCCGTTTTGTAGGTACTTGATACCGAAAAATCGATTGACGGGAAAACGTCTGTCCGTGTGTCCGTTCATCTGTGGTCAACGCTTTGAGCCGATTTTCTTCAAAACCGAAATTCCTCGATCAATTGAAATGAACTCCAGACCGTCTGAAGTTTTAATGGATATTTTGAATTTGCCATTTTACATAAAGCCTCTCAACGTTTATCAATATTTTCTGAAACACGACTCAAGTTTTTTAAAATTTTCTCTTTGTGTGTATCAAAGGACGGTAAAAAATGGCTGAAGTCTCCTTTACGGCAAACACGGTGTTTTCGAAAATTGTAAAAGTTAACATTTGAAAACTACAAAACAGAAAATAACGATTTTTATCTTAAACAAAGTCTGTTTTACATAATAAAGCCTTACAAATGCTATGTACTATTATTTTGAAAAAGTAGAAGTTTCGCTTATTTCTACGTAAATTTTAAGCAATTTATAAAATAAAAACATTTAAATAAACCGCTTTAAATATTTTCATTTTTTCCTATAGACAGAACGTTTAGAAGAATAGCGTAGGTCTCATTTTCGTTCAACTCTCTAAATTTTCCAACATTGCAAATTTAGAAATAATGTGAGAAAGTACGAGCTGTTAACATTAAAGTTTTTTTGAGTTATACTGTGACTTTCTCCTAAAACATGTCGTATACATTCGTTATAGAAACTTGTGACACGTTTCTTAATTTCAATTTGTTCTTCAAAATTACGGTACATCTTTAAAACACTTAAATTCGTGCGCAACAAAATTTTACTTGTAGTATCCCAGTTTATTATATTATGGTTAACATTCAAATTAAAACAAAGCCTCTCCATGAGCGAAATACGAGGAAAGACAAAGAAAATACTAGGGCGTTCGTCTCGAACGAGATATAGTCTGCTCGGTGAAGTTAGAAGAAACAGAAGCCGTTTGGTTCGATTGCACAAACTAAGTGGTACTATCAGTTATTTCACATTTTAACTTCTAGAAAATTTTGATTATGGGAATTTTTCATTCAGAGGTCAAGACGTAAAAATATCAATCGGCTTTAATTTTGGGACATACCCAGATATCTCAAGGGAAATATTGAGAAAATTAAATAATATACATTTTTTGAAAAACTGGTACCAGGAATCGATAATATTGTAGTAGTTTATTATATTACAAAGAAGACATCGAGAATCCATGTTGGACATTCAAGAATTAGATGCAAATATTGTTTCTCGATGCCATTGCCATTACTAAAATATGCCATGATTGGTTGTCCATCTATCTTATATTTTGTCAGAAGACGCTTAGAACATAAATATGTATATTGTATCTTAGTGCCAAATCACATCTATGTTCATTTTGTCCTAGGAATTGAAAATTTAAATGAACTGTCACATCAATGGAAAAACATGGAACATAAAACATCGATCGCCTTTAATATATCGATATTAACAACGTCGACATTTCTATGAAAACATCGACTTTTCTATAACATCCCCATTTCAAACAAAACATCCCCATTTCAAACAAAACATCGACATTTCTAACAAAACATCGACATTTCAAACAAAACATCGACATTTCAAACAAAACATCGACATTTCAAACAAAACATCGACCTTTCTAACAAAACATCGACCTTTCTAACAAAACATCGACCTTTCTAACAAAACATCGACCTTTCTAACAAAACATTGACATTTCTACGAAAACATCCATACTTCTACGAAAACATCCACATTTCTACGAAAACATCGATGTTTCTATGAACACATCTACATCGATGACGCATCCCCAGTTCGAGCTACCCGGGCTCCATCGTAATCCGCCCCCACCGCACTGCGTGCGCGTCAACGCGGTCACAGAGCGCGCACCCGCGTCCGCCCTCGAGCGAGGCGTTTCCAGCAGCGCCCGGCGTTTCCTCCCCC